TATATATATAATGGTTTGTATAAACTCAATAGCTTATTCTCATTTCTCTCTCATGTGCCATTATATGCACATACTATAACTTACTTTTTCATTCTGTTGTTGGACATATAAATCATTGCTGATTTTTAAACTACTACACATACCATTGCTGTGAGCATTTTTGCACATGTCATTTGCTCTGTCTGTGTGCACTTGTTTGTTGGGCATAGGCAATGCATGGAATTACTGAGTAATACAGTGTGTATATCCTCAGATTCAGTAGATAATGCCAAATAGTTCCAAACTGGTTGTGTCGGTTAACACTTCCACCACCAATACGTGAAGGTTTTCATCGCTTCAAATCCTCTTCAGCGCTCATTGTTAGATTCTGTTTTGTTTTCAATTTTGGCCATTTTGATGAGTGTGCAATATTCTCTCATTGTGGTTTTAATTTGTGTTTTCCTGAGGACTAGTGAGGTTGGACACCTTTGTGTATGTTTATTAATTGTTTGGAGTTCCTCTTTTAGGAAATGCTTTTTGAAATTAATCTCTTTCCTAATTTTCTAATGGCTTAGTATTTTCTCACCAGTTTGTAGCGCTTCTTTAAATAGCTTGGACTCAAGTTCTTTTTAAGTTATATGTTTTGCAGGTGTCTTTTCCCATTCTGTTGCTTTTCTTTTTATCTCTTAATGAATCCCATAATGAATAAATGCTCTTGATTTTAATGTTCTCCAATTCATAAAGCTTTTCCTTTATGAACAGCACTTTTGCATCTTAAGAAACTTTTGCCTACTTCTAACTCATGGTATTATTCTTCTATGTTATCTTTATTAGTTCCTATTATACTTTAAATTTGTAATTCATTTTGAGCTGGTTTTGTCTGGTATGAGGAAGGGGTTAGTTTTAATTCTCCACATTATAAACATTTCATTGGGCATTATTTGTGCAAAGTCCTCTCTTCCTTCAGTGCTCTGTGATGCCATCTTTACCTTTAATTAAGCATCCATATAAACACCATTTTATTTAGGAATTCTGATCCATTGATGTATTCCCTGTTTTCATGCAAATAACAAAATAGTAGTTACTGTAGCTTACTGTAACTTTACAATAAGTTTTTATACCCAGTAGAGTAAATGTTCTGATCTTATTCTTATTCCTCAGGTATGTCTTAGATATTTGCCCTTTCTAGCTTGTCAGTTTCTGTACTCTAGTTGTTGGAATTTTTCTTAGAATTGCATTGAATCCATAGATAAATACAGATAAAATATAGATAATATCTTCATGAAATTGAGTTTTTCAATCCATGAATTTGGAATCTCCCTCTATTTATTTAGGCTTTCCTTAATTTCCTTCAGCAATATTTTGTAATTTTTGATGTAGAGATTGTATATACTTTTAATTAGATTTATTCCTACATATTTAAAATGCTTTAGTACTATGATACCATTATCTTTAATATGTTTGTGAAGATATATAGAAGTAATATTGAATTTTAGATTATTGATCTTCTATCTATCAGCTTTGTGAAACTGTGCTTGATGCCTACATGGTCTGATGTTAATACACATATATAGTTTGCACTTTATATCTTTTTTCCATCTTTCTAGTTTCAACACTTCTATATTTTTATCTATTTCTTATAAGTAGCACATAGTTGATTTCAGTTTAAATGCAGGATGACAATCTTTGTCTCTTACTTGGAAGCCTTTAGGTCATTAATATTGTAATGTAATTACTGAAATATTTGGATTTAAGTCTGCATCTTACCTTTTACTTTCTATGTGTTGTATCTGTTTTCCTTTGTTCCTTTTTCTCTCTTTACTTGCTTTCTTTTGCATTTTTGATATTTTTATGATTTAATTTGTCTCCTCTATTACCTTGGATTTATTTATTTGTTTATTTGTTTGTTTATTTTTTGAGGCAGGGTTTCACTATGTACTCTAACTCACAGCAATCCTCCTCCCTCAGCCTCCCCCAAGTGCTGGGATTATAGGCGTGCACCACCATACCCAGCGGGTTATTTTCTTTTACTTTTCTCTTAGTTATTTATCTAGAGATTAAGAAATACATCCTTGACGTATCAAACATTATGTAATGTATATATTTTGCTTCTTTCTGAAAATGCAAACATTTTAGAACTTTACATTTATTGCTCCAAATTTAATAATATTGCTTTCCTATTTTTAAATTATTTATGTTTCCAACCCACATAAGACCTTAGTAGTGTTATTTTTACCATTGGTATTCCTTTATATTTACCCAAATACTCACCCTTTTTGTTGTTTTTCATTTCTTTCAGACTCTTGAAATTTATCTGGGATCATTTTTACTTCCAGAATTTCCTTCACTTTTAAAAAATATTTCTTGTAGTTTAATTTGTTGGTTATAAATTCTTTGAAAAATTTGTGCAATGGTCTTACTTTTATTTTTGAAGAATATATCCCCTGAGAACAGAGTTTTAGATTAGATTATATTCTTTCAACTGTATGATGTTTTTCTATTGTCTTGTGGTTTCCATTGTTTTTATTGAGAACTATCATTGTATCTGTTACTCCTTTGAGGGCAGTATGTCTTTTAAATTTTTTTTGGTTGTTTTAAACATTTTTTTGTCATTGGTCTTTAGCAGTTTAATTGTAATGAAGTGTGCCTTGCTTTGAGTAAATTGTGCTTGAGTCTTGAAAAGTTTATTGATTCTGTGGTTTGATGTCTTTTGAAAATTCTAGAAATGCATCTATTACCACTTTATATATTGCCTCTGTTCTATTCTTTCTTTTCTCTATCCAAGATACTAATTATAGGTGTGTCTCAAACCTGTCTTATATTATCTTTTGTGTTTTGCATCTCTTTTCTCTGTGTATATAATTTTGGCTATTTCTTTCTAACATATTTAACTCAATGGCTATATTGCCAGCTGCATCTAATTTGTCATTAACCTGGTAAATTCTTAATCTCAGAAATTGTAATTTTCAGTCTAAAGTTTTAAAATGTCTTTATTGTTTTATTTTCTCTGGAAATTCTCCAGTTTTTATTTAATTCCTTAAACATTAATTATGACTATTTAAAACTCTATGCCTGATAACTAAATTGTCTGGATCCCCTTTGGCCTATCTCTGTTGACTCATAGGCCCAGACCTTTTAAATGATGTTCTCAACACTGTACATGAAAAACTGTAGACAGAATTTGAGGCCTGGGCTGATATTACCTTTGTTCAGAGAGGATTTACATTTGCCCATCCCCAGGTGGTTATGAATATTTTCTCGCCTGGATTTCTCTCATCCACTTAGTAATTAAGATCTTTTAATATGAGTCTGCAGCCCTTAGGGGTCTATTTCCTGCTCACTGTTCCCCTTAGGATGTAGCTTGTCAGTGTCCCCACCAAAAGCCTAGGGTGTTACTAAATCCCTCCTTCTTGCCAGATCCTAGACTCCAATTTTTGTCCCTACTCTTGTGAGTTGTTGAAAGCTCTATTCAGTTTCTCAGCCTCTCAACTGTCTCTTTTGGAATCAGCAGATACACTTTGGGAAAAGCAACCTCAAATACTAAGTCTACTTGTCTGAGCTTCCTGCTTCTCTCAGTTTTGTTCCTATAGTTTTTCACTGCCTTGGTAGCTCCAGTGTCTTTGAACAGACATATTTCATAGTTATTTGTGTTAGTCATTTTCCTGTTGCTGGAACAAAATACCTGACATCTACAATTTAAAGAAGAGAAGTTTATTTTGGCTCACAGTTCAGTGGGTCCAGTCTACGGTCAGCTGGCTTCATGGCAGAAATAGCTTGGTGGAAGAACATGGTAGAGGAAAATGGTGTGTGCCATGGCAGCCAGGAATCTAAAAGAAGAGTGGGGGCCAAGAATACACCCTTTCAGGTCATGCCCCCTGTGACCTGCCTCTTCTGACCAGGCCCAACCTCCTAACATCATATTCACCTACATACTCATCAGTGGATGACTCTGTGGAATTCCGTGATCCAGTCACCTTCCAAAAGCCCTACCTCTGAATACATGAGACTTTAGGAGACTTTAGATCTAGACCATAATATTATCATGGTTAACTTTTCTAGTTGTGCTTACCAGGAAAACTTCATTTGAATTAATTAGTCTGCCAATACTTGAAAATGTATTGAATTCTGTGTAATAACAATAATAATAAAATGATAGCCACAGTGTTGTGCTGATAAATATTTTAAAATTTTTATTTTAAAATTATT